CCGGCTAACGGCGGGTGCGGTGGCTGGGCCGATGGTAGGGTGCTGGCCGGGTGTTCCTGCGACGCCGCTGCCATGGCATCATGGAGGGGAGCCCTGGCACGGTGTAGTGGTGCCAGGGGAGCCACGCTGGAGGTGGATCCACTTCCATCGGTTCTTCTTGGTCTTCTGGTGGATCCACCTCCATCGGTTCTTCTTGGTCTTCTGGTGGATCCACCTCCATGGGCTCCACACCATCAGCCACATGAGCAACGGCCACCGCTACCATGCAGCTGATGGTGTCCCCCCTCCAACGCTTCCTCCTCTTCCTCCACCCCTCCTGCAGCCACCTCTCTGCCTTCCTGCGCAGACGTGGGCAGCCACTCGCCTCGCTGCTGTGGGTCCTCTTTCTTCCAATCATGGCCGGAATCCGAGTGCCTCGAAGCTCAGCGAACTGTGGGCCAGCTGCAGGAATCCCCGTATTTATAGGGTCCAGAACAATGGGCAGTGATGAGGTAACTCATGACATCAGGAGGCCACTGTGATGTCAACATGTGGCCAAATAGGGCTGTTCTGGGAGCTGGGGGGCCTGCGGCCTGAAAGATGTCCTCAAGTGGGAGGAGGAGGAGGGTCGGGGGGCTGAGGGACGCTTTTCTGGGGATCGCTCCCCTGTGCCCTTCTGCTGCCCCTCGGGCACAGGCACTGCCCTCCACCTCCCCTTGTGTGCCTGGGCTCCAGCCCCCTCCTCATCCCGCGCCTGGGCTCCCCTAGGTGAGATGGTGGCAACGGTGTTCCAGGAGGGTCAGGGGTCTTCAGTGACCCCCCAACGACCCGGCTCCCTGCAAGTGGCGCAGCCCCCCACACCTGACAGTGGCTGACAGGGAGGGAAGCATCCAGACATCCCGCCGGCGGGAAAAGGAGGCACAGCCAGCCTGTGCAAGGCCTCCCAGCACTCCATAAAGAACTGCTGGTTGCCATGTGTTGCGTGGGCCCTTCTTCCCCATCTCCTGGCCTGCCCCTGGAGCGTGGGGAGGTGCCATCTCCTCTGCATGGAGCCCAAGGGAGAGAGGAGGAGAGGGCCTGGCGTCCTTTGGGCCGCTGGGCCGGCACCGTGAGAGGACTCTGTTGGAGGCCACGGAGGGAGGTCCTTGGGGCCTGGAAGCGGTGGGGTTTCTTTTCAGTCTGAGGTTCACCCTTGCTCTATTTTCTAGTTTTAAGAACAAATCTTCTCACTGCTTTTTTTTTAGCTAATCACCGGGGATAATTTTAGTGTTCTTGTCTAACACTAAGTATGGTCTGATTTCTGCACTCATCTAAGAGTTTTGCCAAGACATTTCACCATGGCTATGGCAAAGACAACAACTTATAAGGCTGCAGTCTTGTTCATGCTCTTCCTGGAACACAGCGTAGATTAGGCCACTGGTCCTGCAGCATGGAATAACATGGGAAATGGGCTGTCGGTTGGGGTAGCATATGAATTTTGTGGACTGTAGTGACAACAGTTTCTTGGGCTTACAGCAGCAATGACACAGCTGAGAAAGTCTCGTCTGTGTATATGGTCTGTTCTGCTGATCAGAGATGACTGCTCACAGAGCATCCTGAGGACCCACAGAAATATTCTGCTGCTATTACTGCACTTACTGCTGAAGCAAAAGCTGCCAATCAGCGGTACAAACTGATGTCTCAGATTTTCTGATCTGGCTGAAATACGCTTGCTCCAGGACTAGCAATAAAAGAGTAAATACCAGTAGCTGCTTCCCTAGCCGGAGGGATGGCTGCCGCCAGCATAACTAAGGGCAGCCACAGAGTTGCTCTAAGGCAACACAGCCAGTGCTAGCACTTGTTTTCCAGGGGTGGACAGCCCGCAGTTTCTGAAGAATCAGTTCCCTTTTAGCTCGGATTCCCAAAATTTGGATTAACCCATATCCATGTCACTACTGGAGACTGCATCTACAGTGCAGCTTATTTTATGTGGGCTGGCACAAGGGTGGGCACCATGAAGGAGGGCTGCAGTTAAGACCAACTGCACATGAAACGGGTGCTGGTGTCAGCTCACATCTTTGTAGAAACCATCACCACAAACAACCTGAGCGTGAGCTCTGCATGGCCCTCTCAGAGGAAAATTCATCATGGGGGGGGAACAACTAAATTACTTTGGCACCAAATTCACTTAGCCTGGACCCACTGAACATGTGGGCCTACCCACCAATGTTTGATTTGCTAAATGGGAGTTAGCCAGTCCCCCTGTTGCAATGACATCGGGGTGTCATTGTACAGCCAGAGCCCTCCCTGCAGATGTCTGCCAACAGCGCGGGGGGCCGCCGGCAGCAATTAGCCACCACTCTGAGACCTACCGCTGACTGCAAACTCCTCTTGGCATCGGGATGAGGCTGGGACGAAGCACCAGGTACACGCTGCGAGGAGCAGGGGACCTCCAGGAGACCATGGCTCCATTGCGTTGTCCCTGCCGTTGTGCCATGGCTGGCACATGGTGGGGGATAACCAGGAGCCCTTCGACAGCTCTTCTCGTGAGTGCAGCACTGCAGGGTAACTGCGGGCACGACCCTATCCAATGCGCTTCTGCACAACTTGGATCAGCCCCAACTACACAACAAGCACATATGCTGCTGCTGGAAATTTTATGTGGAAAAAAACTAGCCTAGATTGTAGTTTATAGTTCTTTTCAGCAGGACTGCATGAAGCTAATGACACAGAAAGCCATTTGGGTTAAATTGTGAAACTGAAAGATGCAGCACCTGCTTTTATGCTTCACGTGTTACTAAAAATACTTCTTCCCTTCTAAAATGCAACACGAATGACAATACAAAAGAAAACTCTACAATGACATTGGTGACATTATTAAGGGGGGCTTCATCAGTGTCCCTGTGCACAGAAAGATGAAAAAAAGATAGCAGAAACAGAAGACATCATTATGCCATTGCTTAAACCCTTGGTGCATCCATATCTGAGGTAATTCATTGCCCTCCTGGTCTCTCCATGTAAAAAAGAGGATAATGATAGGTTTTAGACAAGAGAGATGAGAATGATCCAAAGTATGGAAGAGCTTCCATATGAGGAGAAACTAAATAGCATCTATTTATCCTGAAAAAGAGACTCCTGAGGGGAGAAACATGGCAAAAAGGTGTGGAGGAGGCGAATCAAGACGCAAAGTAGTTCAACAGACAGATGAGAGAGAGGGCTTTAGAACAAATAGAAGTGCTGAATTTAGCTGAAATCTAACATTTCAGGGGAAGATGTGGAAGCCAGATGAGGTCAATGGTCCAAACAAGGGGTTACACTGACCCCCTTGGGGACAGCAGCCCTGGGGCCACCAGGGACCATGTGGTGCAAAGGCCACCCAGCCTGGTTTCAGGCAGCTATCCCACCCGTGCTGGGGCAGATTCTGTGGTCGGCTGCATCCTCATCCCCAACCCAGGGTCAGGCAATGTGTACGTGGATGCCCACCTCACCGGGCATGGGGGACCCTGGGGCAGCTGTCTTCAGGACGTGTCACCGGGACCTATAAGGAGCCTTCTTGTCGTGGGTGCAGCTCACACGATTCAAATACCACACTTATTATTAAATATTTTCCTCCTTCACTCTTCAAAATCAAATGAAAAGCCCTGACTCAAGCAAATTTTTTACCAGTGAAAAGGGAGCATTGCCAGAGAGTATGAACCCCTGTAGAGATTTTACTTTTGCTATTGATTTTATGCGTGAGATGCTTAGCTACTCTGATAATATCTGACAGAATAAGAAGCCAGAGAGAGAGAATAGAAAGGTTAATATAGTAACAATGTCACCAGGATAACTGGTAAAATTTTTGGAAATTGTGGTTTTAAATCTGATTGAAATACCTCATTGTTTATCAAGCTGAGAAGTGTTTTGACCAAAAAATCCTCCCATTGAGGAGTTTTAATTTTTTTAATTGTTATTTTTGCAAGAAGGACATGCAAGGTAAAAATAAGATATATTAAAGAGTTATAAATGCTTCAGAAAAGGAAAAATGTAAATGGCAGAAATCTAAGTGGTGAACTGAGACATTCACAGTGAAGGTACATACATTTTCTACCTTGCTTACAGCTTGCTGTGTAACTTACGTCACATTGGTACCATGGCAGTTTCTCGAGTGTTAAAAACCCTCATTGAAAACATAGGTTTTGAACAAAAAGGTCTCTGAATAACAGCACTGCTCGTCTGGGACAATGCAGACCAGAAGGCATGGGGATGGGGGACAACGTGTCATCAGGTCCTCTGGACCCTCAGAAGACATGCAGCCAGACCTGCCCTTTCGACAAAAAGCTGCTCTACCAAGCAAGGCTGCTCTCTGAAGACGTCCACCCATCCAAAACAAAACCTAGAGCCAAATGTTTTGTAGAAGAGTGTTCTTTTCAAGGGTAAATTTATTTTAAAAATAAACAGAAGTTTAGCTGAAAGGTTGACTGTAGTTTGGGTGCTCCCTGGGTTTCGTTGCCCTCCTGGAGGTAACAGTTTGGATCTTTTTGGACTGAGGAGGGACTTGAATTCATGTCAGTCATTTCCTGGGCGAGTGCTCCCGTATCAAGGGTCTTCAATATAAAGGATAAGCTAATGCATTTTAAAAGTGCAGGTCTGGACAGCAGAGCTCTGGAGGACAGGTAGAAATTGGAGCATGATCCCACACTTCATGGTTCCAGCTGGTTAATGCCAGGACCTCAAGAGGGGCAAGGTTTTAGGGTTTGCCCTTCTGGGCAGCCCGTTCCTCCCCATGCATGGGCCAGAGAGCCTGGGCGTCATGCTGGGTTTCACACCAGTGGCCTGGCCCTGAAAAACAAGGAGGTGCAGTGTCTGACCTGTGCTGGACTGCCTCTGCACCGAATTTGCCCCCAGATGTGCCTAGTTTGGGGCATTTGCATTATGTGTCAGAAATATTTATTCATTAAAAAAATTAGTGCTTTCCATACAGTTACTTGAGGATTGTATGTCAAGAGACTAAAATATCTTTCATTTCAGTTCATTCAGTCCAGCAAGTCTTCCCACTGTAACTGTAACCCACTCTGCTGTCAGGGAATGTACTAGAGCTACCGCAGAGTTAGAGAACCAAAAAATATACATTTGAAGTGACAGCATGAAAAAAGTGAATGGGGGTGAAATATAATTAGCTGAGGCAAGGACAAGTAGGTAAGTCTCCATAGTCATAATTTATGTGGGATATTGTTATAGTTATTACCATGCAATTTAACAGGAATACACCAGAGCAATTTTCATATCTTAAAACATGCAGATGCACTCACATATATATGAGAAAAGTCTCAGAACTCAAATCATCCAAAATAATCAAGAAAGTTATTATCATAAACAGCACAATTAACACAGGGATCACAAGGGATGAGTCTCCATTTCTGATAAGAGAAAATGAAAGCATTATTAAAACTTCAGTGTAGAAACGGTAGCTACGTTCACATCTCTGTGCACATCACCAGCATTCCATAGTCTCTGTCAGTCCCTCCTCTACCGTTTCTTTGCCAGTCCCAGA